AATTTGAATCCTGTGTATTTTATTTAAAACTCGCCATGGGACTGGAGAGATGGCTCACACCTAAGAGTGCACAAACTGCTCTGGCAGAGGACACAAGTTCAGTAATCAGTAACCACATGGCAGCTCACAAGCATTTGTAACTCAGTTTCAAGAGATCCAATGCCTTCTTCGGGCCTTAGAGAGCACCAGGCACAGGCATTGTGCATAGACATACATACAGGAACTCTCACATACACATAAAATGAAAATAAATATCCATGGGCAGGAGCAATAGTTCAGCCTTTAAGAAGAGTACATCCTGCTCTTGCAGAGGACCTGAGCTCAGTTCCCAAGACCCATATCCAGTGACTCATAACAGCATGTTATCTACAATTCCAGGGAGGGCCAACATTTCTGACTTCTACATGCACCAGCACTTATTTTTACAGGTTCACACACATCATACATAATTTAAAAGAGCAAATCACAGTTTTGTTTCTTTATTTTGCTTTGGTTGATAAGATGGGGTTTCTCTATGTAGCTTTGTAGACCAGACTCACAAAGATTCAGCAGCCTCTGCCTCCTGAGTGCTGGGATTAAACGTGTACACCATCCATGCCCAGCATAATAAATCATTTTTTAAAACTAGATAAAATCTACAATGGTGGAAAACATCTGTTCCAAGCACTTGGGAAGTGACAGCAGAAAGATCAGGAGTTAAAAGTCACAGCTGACTGTAATCAGGGTCAAGCCAGCATGGACTACATGAAACAGTCTCAAACAAAATAAAACACATCTTGGTTAACATAAGTTGTGTATTTCCTAAAGTAAATTCCCAACCAACAGCACTGTAAGTTAAGACAAAGTATATTATGGCCTTCTCACCATCAAGAACACGTGACAGCACTCAAGCACATGCTTGGGTTCTATGTGAACAGGTACCTCACCAAATAAACAATTCTAAAAAAAGAGGTAGTCAGAGAAGACAATTGTTTACAGAATGAGAACTGAAAGAAATTGCTGTGTTAGCCCTCAACCAGGAGTTCTCACACTGGGCCTCTCAGAATCTTCATCATTCTCAGTTTACAAATGAAAGGCCAGCAAATCTCTGGGGAAAAAAAACAGGCTTTAAAGTTACAAACAAATTTAACAATGGACTTTACATCGCACACACACATACATAAATACATGCACACTTAATGTATGAAGGAATAGGACAGACAAGGGACTTCCAAAGGGCAATAAAAGTCAAAGTGTGCTTGGTTTTATAATGAAAATTCTAAACTATAATTCTTATTAGGAAATCTGCAATTGCAAGATTGGTATCACAAGGGTCTTTTCTCTGCCTTATCCGGACATGTCAGGGCAATGTCTCATATTGCCATCAATATTTAAATACACTGAGTACAATTTTATTTACTTATTTTCATTTTACATATTAATCCCAGTTCCCCCTTCCTCCCTCCCTGTTTCCCTCTGTTCATACCCCCATGCCCCCCGACCACACTCCTCTCCCACCCCCCACTCAACATGTAGGGTGATGTCTTCCAGGAGGGGTCATCTAAATCTGACACATCATTTGGAGTAGGGACTAGGCCTTCTCTCCTGTCTCTAGGTTAAGGGAGTATCCCTCCATGGGGGATGTGCACCCAAAGTCCTTTTGTGCACCAGGTACATATCCTGTTTCCACTGTCAAGGTCCCTTAGACTTCCCAGGCCTTCCGGCAGAGACCCATGTTTAGGGAGTCTGAGTCAGTCCAATGCTGGAATCCCAGCTATCAGTCTGGGGGCCTAGTAGCTCCTCCTTTTTTCAGGTTGGCTGTCTCAATGTATATTTGTAGCCTGGTCTTGTCCTCTCTCTCTGCTTCTGAATTCCTGTTTTGCTCAGTGGTTACTTGTGGGTGTCTGCTTCTGTTTCCATCTGCTGCTAGATGATAGCTCTATGATGGTGGATAAGACAGTCCTCAATCTCATTATCAGGGAAGGGCATTTATGGTAGCCCTTCCACTGTTGCTCAAATTGTTACTTGCAGTGAGACTTGAAGGTCTCTGGATATTTCTCTAGGTTCATTTTTCTCTTCAAACATATAATTGCTCCCTCTATTATGTTCCCTCTCTCTTCTCATCTATTCCTCCCCTGACTCAATCTTCCTAGGCCCACATGCTTCCCTCTCCTCCCCTTCTCTTCCTCCTAGCTCCCTCTCCACTCACTGCCCCACCACTCCCCATATGCTCAGGAGATCTTGTCCCTTTCCCCTTCTGTGAGGGAACTTATATGAATCTCTTAGAATCCTCTTTGCATCTTAATTTCTTTGGCAGTGTTAATTATAGGCTGGTGATCCTTTGTTCAGTCTAAAATACATATATGATTGAGTACATACAATTTTATTCTTTTTGTGACTGGGTTACCTCATTCAGGATAGTTTCTTGAAGGTCCATTCACTTTACTGCAAATTTCAAGATTTTATTCTTTTCTTTTCCGGCAGAGTAGTATTCCATTGTGTAAATGTGCTATATCTTCTTTATCCATTCTTCAGTTGAAGGGCATGTTGGTTGCTTCCAGATTCTTGTGATTACAAACCATGCTTCCATGAACATAGTAGAACAGAAATCTGTGTTGCATGGATGTGGATCAGTTGGGTATATGCCTAAGATGGCGATTGCCGGGGCCTGTGGTAGACTGATTCCCATTTTCCTGAGGAACCGCCTTAATGATCTCCAAAATAACTGGACAACTTTGCACTCTCACCAACAGTGGAGGAGTGTTCCCCTTTCTCCACATCCTGTCCAGCATAAGTTGTTCTTGGTGTTTCTAATTTTAGCCAATCTGGCAGCAGTAAGATGGTATCTCGAAGTTCCTTTATTTGCATTTCCCTGATAACTAAGGACTGTGAGTACATTCTTTAGTGCCCTTCAGCCTTTTAAATTTCCTCTATTGAGAGTTCTCTATTAAGGTCTGGACCCCATTTTTAATAGGGTTATTTGGTATTTTGTTGACTAGTTTCTTGAGTTCTTTGTATATTTTGGAGATCAGCCCTCTGTCAGATGTAGGATCGGTGAAGATATTTTCCCAGTCTGTGGGCTGCCGTTTGGTCTTGTCCACTGTGTCCTTTGCCTTATAGAAGCTTCTCAGTTGGGGAGGTCCCATTTATTAATTGTACATCTCAGTGTCTGTGCTACTAGAGTTATGTTCAGGAAGCAGTCTTCTGTACCAGTTTGTTCAAGGGTAATTCCCACTTTCTCTTCTATGAGGTTCTACGAGTTTCAGTGTGGAAGGACTTATGATGAGGTCTTTGATCCACTTGGACTTGAGTTTTGTGGATGGCGATAGACATGGGTCTATCTGCAGTCATTTACCCACCATCATCCAGTTGTGCCAGCACCATTTGTTGAAGATGTTTTCCTCCTCACGTTATATACTTTCAGCTGTTTTGTCCTAAATCAGGTGTCCGTAGCTGTGTGGGTTAATGGCAGAATATTTGATTTAATTTCATTGGTGACCTTGTCTATTTTTGTGCCAATACCAGGCTGTTTTCAGGACTATAGGTCTGTTGTAGAGCTTAAAGTTGAGGATGGTGATGCCTCCTGGAGTTTCTTTATTGTACAGGATTGTTTTAGCTATCCTGATTTTATTTCTTTTTCTGTATAAAGTTGATTATTATCCTTTCAAGGATATTGAAGAATTGATTGAGCACAAATATTGATTGGAAACCCACTATTTTCCTTTCAGTTTAGGCACTGGGAATATAAATAAAAGTACCATACTTCTTACAGAGTTTAAATTAATGTGAAGCGGAGGACATGATGATTAGAGAACAAAACAAGATGTGACGAGAAATAACGGAACAAAATAAGAGATATTGGTTTAGTTAGGGTACCGAGAAAGCCTTCTTTAAGATGATAGTGGGACCCCACATCTGAATGAAACAAAGGTTCAAAAATGCAAGCACATAGAACACCACATAGTGAAAAAAATAAAAAGAAGGAAAGAAAAAGCCTGAAAGATGAAAGACCTTACCATACAGATGTGCTGGGCACACCAAAAATGAAGAAAGCCAATGGCAATAGATAGCAACAAAGAAAAGAGACATAGAATAGTCTATAGCTTCTCACAAGGTGGGTATGGTAAACTTGGTTCTGAGAATCTTGTTTTAAGTCTGTTTAAAACATTTGAGGGGGGTGCAGGAAAGACTGTGACAGTATGCACAATTTATGTTTTAGGAGTTATTCTGAGTTTACAGAGAAAAGACAGTGTAGGAAGATATAAAGACATTCATAGGGCTACTGTAATGAACCAACTACTGCTAATGATGGCTTTAACCAGAGTATTGGTAGATGATAAAAAGCCATCAGATTAAAGGTTAAGAAATTTGACAGAATTTGATGATAAGACAAACAAATATGGGACACAAAAGGGGCACTGAAGGATGACTAGCAGCTGCCCTGTTCACAAATACAATGATACTGCCATTTAGTAACTACAACAAAGAATATTAAGCAAGCCTAACTTGCGCAGAAGAAAGGAGTCAGATTTATATACAATAGGAAGTTCCATCCAAAGACACCGCTCAGATTCCTGGACTCATGTCAGCATGAGTTTAAGGCAATAATCTGATAAATGTTACCAGATACTGAGAAAGGTAGCTTGGGAATTCCAACATATTTACATTTTGTTCATGAAGAAAATCGTCCAAGACAAAATAACATTCTTAAAAATGAATGATGTAGCCAGGTGATGTAGGGCACTCCTTTAAAACTAGCAGTCAGGAAGCAAAGGCAGGTGGATCTCTCTTAGTTCAAGGCCAGCCTGGTCTACAGAGTGAGTTCCAGGATAGGCTGCAAAGCTACACAGACAAATCCTGTCTTGAAAACACAAACAAACACCAAATTAAAAAAAAAAAAAAACAACATGAATGATTCTATGTAATTGATAACATCCAATAATCAATGTGTAAAGCCTCTAATACATAACATGCATTTAAAGACATTTCACTTGCCATTCACTGGAGTTACCAAACACCTCTCACCTGTGAAGCATCCTTTCATTGTCTTGGTACAGCTCCCTCATCACTGTGATTTTCCTTTGAAGCTTCTGTTTCTCGATTTCAAGTTGTGTATTACCTGACTGCAAAGACACTTGTTCAGACTTGAGACTTCGCATATGCTCTAGACAAAGGTACAAAATCATAAAGAAACTAAAGGAATTAAAGTCTTCAGTTCTTAATAAAGAAATTAAAGGAATTTCATACAATTAAAAACATATTAAAAATATTAACGATACACAAAGTTGGTCAGATCACTGTGACTTCAAAACCCACCTACTTTATAAAGATACACAGAGAAGCCTGTCTTGAAAACAAAAATCCTTAATCACATGCCTAGGGTTTTTTTAAATGTATATGGAATCACTCAGACAATATACAATTAAAAATATGTCTTAAAATTTAGTGGCTAGAGATGGTAAGGAGAGTGTTTGTTTTTCCAAAGGTCCTGAGTTCAGATCTCAGAAACTACATGGTGGCTCACACAATCTGTAATGGGGTCTGGTGCCCTCATCTGGCTTGCAGGTGTGCATCCAGTCAGAAAATTGTATACATAATAAATAAATAAATCTTAAAGAAAAAAAGATAATTGACAAGATTGGACATGCCCAGGGACATACAGCTATAGACAATTACTATACACAACAGTTCAGTTACTAGTACCATAATAAATCAGTCTTTTTTTTAGTCTAAATTGTTCATGTGCTGTCATTCAAACTAGCTGATAATAAGTGTTCATTTCCAGTTTCCTGAGAGACCAAGACTCAAACAAAATGAAGACTGGAAAGAATAATGACTTTTACATTATTTCAACTGCTATACTACTGAATCACCCACAAAATTGGGGAGATAGCTCAGTCAGTAAGGTACTGGCTAAACAAACATGAGGACCAAAGTTTGGGTCATGAGCACCCATATAAGACCTGTCTGAGTGCTGAAAATGGAAAAAACAAGTTCCCAAGGGCTTACTGAGCAGCACAATCCAGGTTTAATGACAGCTTTCTCAATGAATAAGGGGGAAAGGAATTGAAGGAAAGCCTGAATATCTACCTTTGTCCTCTATATACATATGAATACAGACACACACAAAATGGATTAACAATTATAAGTGATTGTGAATTCTGTATGAACTAGCACACCATTATTTTTACATATCTCACTTTTCTTTCATTATGATTAATACAACTCTACACAGCTCTAATATTAAAATGAGAACCTCAACTCTGACCTGCTCTAAGGTATCATTCCCAAAACATATGTGAACCAATCGAATACAAGAAAAAAATGCACTATACTTCAAAAGGGCAGTTTCAAAATCATAACAAGGAAAAGTTTAGTAACTATGTGCAATGGGATGTTATTATTCTAAAATGCAAGCTAAATAAACATATGGACCAAAAGAAAAGTTTGTGTCGATACAGTAATAGCAAAGGGAAAATATACAGGAAATCATGAATAGTTGACTTCTGCAAAAATTGTAAAGCTATATCAGAAAAAAAAATGCCCATCCATGCTGTCTGCCAGATCTAACAAGTCACTTATCAAGAAATCAATGGTCAATACAAGCTGTAATATAATTGAATCATACTAATGCAAAGAAGCCTTAAAAAACAACACAAATTATTTTACCATTATACACTCAAGCTCTTTTTTCTAGTGTCTGACTTTATCTCATTTTAAAACTTTTAAAACTAAGTGTTTGGGAGACGTGGAGGGCAGGGGCTCAGAGGGAAGGGGACTGGGAAAAAGTATAGCTCAATTCAAAAAACGTTTGTGTGTGTGTGTGTGTGTGTGTGTGTGTGTGTGTGTGTGTGTGTGTGTGTGTTCACCTCAGCCTGCATGCCCAGGTGGGCAAAGGTCAGAGGACAACTAGCAGGGGTCTGTTCTCTCCTTCCACTGGAGACTGAATTCAGACCATCAGGCTCAGAAGAAGGGGCTTTTATGCACTGAACCCAGACACTATAATAGGGCACTGTACAGGCCAGGTGCAGTAATTTTAAGCCTATATAAAGCAGACATGTGAGAAGCTGAGGTAGAAATGTGAGGACTTCAAGAAGCCTGGGGTTACATAGAAACATGCATTTAAAGGAAGAACACTATAAATTACCAAAAAGGCCAGAATCTATGGGAGATGAGAGATGGTTAGAGAAAAATGCTCCCATATGTTAAAAATTAATTATTGAAAAATTTTATGACGCATTAAGGAAAGAATGTTGGGGCTGGAGACATGGCTCAGCAGTTAAGAGCAATGAATGCTCTTCCAGAGAACCTTGGCTCAATTCCGATCACCCACAGGGCAGCTCAAAACTGTCTGTAACTCCAGTTCCAGAGGATCTGACACTCTCACACAGACATATATGTGAGCAAACTCCCAATAAAGTAAATAAATAAAAAACATTAAATAATTTTTTAAAACACCATGGAAAAAGAAAAGGTGGATTTGGAGGAACGCTCTACACACACAAGAGTTTCCCATATTATTTGGTGGGGGGGGGGATTAAGACTGGCCAAGAGAAGGAGTAAACAATGGAATAACTGGTGAACTAATTGCTTGCTACACTGGTACTTCCTACTAAGATACATGTACGTTAATGTATGCCTCGATAAAGCTGCCTTGAAAACAGAGTGCCTATTCCTCTCTGTATCTTCCACACTGTTAATACTATTCTCAGATAGCAGCATTTTTTTTAATTAGACTAGTGTTTTTTCAGGTCTAATAACAATACAATTAGTATAATCAGTGAGTAGGGCAATTTAATCCAATGGTTCAATCTTTTTTAAGCATTTTGCTCATTAAAAGTCTTAAAGGCCTTTGAGACCCTTTTGGTCTTTTTCTCATCAGTTCTCAACCCTGGTCTTGAAGGTTATAAAGAAGATAAAGTACACTGAAGCTGGCCTCACAACGATGAAGTCTGGTATAGAGCATAGGTCCAGATTCAAATGGTTCTGGCTATCGTTTGGAAGACAGAATAAGTTAAGAATGAAAAGGAAGAAATGTGAAGTTCTGGGCAGCCGTGGCAATGGTTGACTACATATTGACGTTTCTTGTATTCATTGAGAGGATTATTTTGTTGATGTTGATTTCTGGTATGTTTATATTCAGCTGTGTAATCAGTGAAGGGGCTTTGCCTGTGATCATAGGTGTAGAGTTAGAAACAGGCAGGAAAAGCATCAGGCAGGTAAAATGAAGCTCTACAAGCAGAAGTTTTTGTCTTATGTTGCATCATTTAAGCAAGTGTAACAGGATCAATAAAGCCTGTTTTGAAAAGAAAATATAGATGAGGAGAAATAAAAAAAAAAAAGATGCCTGTGGTTCCATTCTGAGTTAACCAGCACAGACATTTGAATATGTCCATCCATTCTTTTCAGATATAAAAATATGAATTTATTTCATTAACACAGTGAGATGTGATATACCTTTTACAGCACAAACACAACTGGCAAAAACTATTTTTCAATGTGAACAAAATCAGCAAACTTTTTTAATGCTTTCCATAAAAAAATATATTTTTACAGGTGTAAAGCCACTCTTGTGTATGCTAATAAATTATATGAATATATTAAAATAGTAGACATTACAAGCTCAAGTCCTGAAGATCACTTTCTCAATTTTAAAAAATGTAAGGAAAAAATTAAATTTAAAACTTTTTAACATCTAAAACTATATCCAACATTGTACTCCTTGTGGTGGCTTGAGTGAAAATGTCACCCTAGGCTCAGAGGATGTGACACTATTAGGAAGTATTGCTTTGTTGGAGGAAGTTGTCACTGAGGGTGAGCTTTGAGGTTTCAGATGCTCAAGACTGACCCAGTGGCACTCTTCCTGCTGCCTGCAGATCTAGATATAGAACTCCTGGATCTTTCCCCAGCACCATGTCTGCCTGTGTGATCTTCTGCAGTGCAATTACTATGGAATACTACTTTATGGTATACTTATAATTTGCAGGCCCTAGAACTCTGAACTATAAGCCAGATCCAATGAATGTCTTCCTTATAAGAGTTGCCATGGTCAAGGTGTCTCTACATAGCAATAGAAACCCTAACAAAGATGCACCATACTCCACATTCTTACATACTTTTAATAATTTACATAAATATAAGAGATAATGGAATACATTTACCACTGACAGTAAAACTCAGAAGTAATTCATTCTCTTTAAGGAGACGTGCTCGTCAAGAACCCTTACCTGTAAGATCATCATTTGTTGCATCTATTTCAGATAACTGAGTATAAATTTGGTTTCTGTCTCCTTCTAGGGTTTTTAACGAAGCACTTAACTTCAAAGAAGGAAAAGAAGAAGAAAAGCAATTATCAATTACACAAAAGAAACACACATCCCCAATATACCCCATACTACTGTTCTGCAGTTATTTTCCCCGTGATGATGTTATCATGGACAACATAAAGACATCAGTGCAGCTGCCAAAGCAGCCTTCACCCTATACAATCAGGACTTTTTACACAGATTAACTAAGAACTGACAGAGGGAATAAACCAGAAGACAACACAGCTATTATTTATTTCTCAAAAGAGTATATAGAACCATTGGAACCAGAAGAAAAGAATGCACATGGGGAATGATTAAATAAAACAATAATATTCTGAAGATATCTTTAATGGAAGAAATGAGTGTACAATTTGAACATTTCTAAATACTATAATTATAAAAATTTCTAAAGTTGATATAAAAAAAGAAATTGATAAGGAAATCCTAGGGGCTGGAGAGATAGTACACTGGCTGCTCTTCCAGTGGACCTGAATTTAAGTCTCTACACGCACATGGCAGCTCATGACTGTCTGTAGCTCCAGTTCCAGGGAATCTCAAACCCTCATAAAAACAAGCATACTGCCAAACCACCAATGCACAGAAAATTAATACATCAAAAGAAAAAGAAAATTCTCATCATTTATCATATAACCTTATACAAAAAAATTAAAGCAATCTTTAAATTAGTTACTAAGGACACACAGATTTCATGTCTGCTGTAGGTCCTGCTCCTTCTCATCTAGATTTTTACATACTAATACAAACCTCAGTAGCATATATTAGCTTCCTCAAAGCTCCCTTAGGCTGATTACCTACAGTGAAAAATAAAACCATACTTAGTGAACACATCCAAATGAATACATTAGTTCTTTATCTAGTCTTGCAACCCCTCTTCTGGCCAAAATTAAATAATTTGAGGCTGAGCTTACTTGCTCTTGACTCTAATTCCAACATTTCACAGCTAAGACAAGGGGATTCCCATGAGTATAAGGCCAGCCTGGACTTCAAGGTGAATTCCAGGCCAGCTTGACCTACAGCAAGATGTTGTCTCAGTAAAAAGAGTAATTAAAATAAAATAATAATTTATATAAGGTAGAGTGATCTACACTCAGGAAGATAGACAGTGTACTACAGAGACCCAACAAGAACTGAATATTTACCTAAACAGTGTCCATGGACTTAACTATGCTTAGATTCTTATGGCATTACAGCATCCAGGTTAATTAGTCAACCGTGGCTTCAACACTAAAATTATTAATGAACCATGGCTCCAAGTTAAGTACTATTAAACATAAATAGAATTTATGTTTCTTCTATTATAAAATAAAAATGAAAAATACAAATATTTTATATTACTATACCTTACTATAGTTCCCCTTTTGTTATGGAACTTAAGAGCTGTGTTGTTATAATGAAGAAATATAGGCTATAGAGAAGAGCAAAAGAGAAGAAGTCTACAACTCTGAAGAGGTAAAGAAATATTTACACAAAAGACTAGCTAAATAAGGTGGAAAGGGAGCGTGGTATTTCATGAAGATAGACAAAATGTGCCAAGTCTAAGTATATGAGGAGCTCTATACACATGTGGAATGAAGAGGAAACAAGGAGCCAGTCGCCACAAGTCAGTGCACGTTATTCTCTAAGTCATTGTTCACTTCTACATCCAGATTACCATCATCAGTTACATCTTCCCCAAGCACAGAATTCCAGTCTTTCATCCTTAGCAGGCTCTCCATCAGAGACTGGATATTGAGTAAAAAGAGAAAACAAAAAGAGAAGGTAATGACTCATGATAATAGCTTTACAATTTAGAACTTAACTCATCTGAAATTCAATCCTGAGCCAATGAGATGGCTCGGCAGGTAAAAGCATCTGCCACTTAGACTGATAATCTGAGTTTAATCCCCAGAACCCACATGGTAGGAAAATTGCCTCCCAAAATTTGTCTTCTGAACTCCATACCCACATCATGGAATGCACATACCTGACACATACATACACAAGTAAATTTTTAAATATTATAATTTTTTAAATCAATCCCCATGAATAAATCCTTTTGTACCCTAAGTATCTCTCTGCAATTGAGATATGTAAACAGTTGGTTTTATCTTCTAACTCCACATTTAGGGACTATTAATCCTGAAAAACTAACTTGCTGAACATGGTACATCTTTTACCCCACCACTCAGAAGGAATAGGCAGGCAGATCTATGTGAGATGGGAGCCAGCCTGATATAATAAAGTGAGTTCTGGTAAGAAAAAACTACCTCTTGAAACACTGTATGCAAAAATAAATATTATGGATATTATGGAAAGGAGGGATGGAGGAAGGCGAGGTAGTGAGGGAAGGAAGGAATGAAGGATGAAGAGAAAAAGGAAAAGAAAGAAGAGAAAACAAAATCAAATACAGTGTTTTATAATGGTTCATTCTTGTTAACTACAAAGCAATAAAATATTTTCTTTTGTGTGTATCATACACACATGAGTATGCAGGTGCACATACAGCTGCAAGAGCATGAGGCAAGAAGATGCAAGTGTCTTCTTCCATCATACTCTACCTTACTGCCTGGAGACAGGACCTCTCATGTAATAAGAACTCCACTATCTCAAAAGCATGGCTGCTCAACAGGGTCTAATCTCCACTGTCTCTGTCCCCTGTGCGGGGCTCTCAGGCATGTGCAGCCATGATCTTCTTATGTGGGTGCTTAGAATTCAAACTCAAGACCTTATGTTTGCAGACCAAGTGCACTAACCCACTAAACCATCTCCCCACTCCCTAAAATACTTTCTTTTGACATTCTTTACATTTTTTACTAATTTACAGTCGGACTTGAGAGATAGCTGAGCAGTTTGGGACTTGTTACTCTACTAAAGCATCTAAGCTCTTTTCCCAGCACCCACATCAGATGGGTAACTTGTAACTCCAGCTCCAGGATATTCAGTGGTCTCTTCTGGCCTCTGTGGGAAGCATGCAGTGGCCAATAACATATGGAGTGGGATATGTTGTGTGGTGTTTCATCTATCTCCGAGACATACAAAAGCTATAAAAAAGATTCATACAAATCTATGAAAACATCATAGACATCTTGGGCACTGCACTCAAATGCACATTCCTATACATGGGCACATACAAATACACACCAACTAAAAAATTAACATCTCTGGCTGGAGAGATGGCTCAGCTGTTAAGAGCAGATATTATCTTGACAAAGGCCCAAATTCAATCTCACTACCCATATCTAGCATTTCTCAACTCCCTGTAACCTCAGCTGCAGGGACTACAACCTTTCTGGTTTCTGAGGGCCAAAAAACTCACATGATTATACCCACAAAAAACTAAAATACAGATTCTTGATTTATACAAGGAAGTAACTAGCTGGAGAGTCCAAATGAGACAAACAAAGACACGTTGTAAAATATTTTGAAGGAGTACTGGAAGACCATCAACTGATTTTTCTGCTGCTGTTGATATTTCTTTTCTTTTTTTTTTTTTTTTTTTTTTTTTTTTTTTTTAAATCCGCCTATATCTGAGAGTCCACCCTGAGTTCCTGCCGCCAGCAAGATCCTTGACCCCTAAAGCAGGGCCTCTGCTAAAGAAAGAGGCCTCAGCTGGAGAGTCCCAGTTTCCAGTGAGATCAGACTATCATGCAGAAACTTGCCAAGTTTCAGCTCAGCCTCTGTCCTCCTCCCCCAGCCATTGACTAGAGCCATTGGCTAGTGGCATCTTCTACATTATCCTCAGCCCTGACCCCATCCCTGGGTCCCTGTCTGTGGAGAGACCTCCTATAGAGCTTGGACTACCCAGAGATATAGATATTGACTCACTGACCACAAAATCCCACTGGGGAAGTATCATAGAGAGAGGGGGAGACCCCATCAACACCTACTGGAAGAAGCTATGAGAAGACGGCAATACAAGAAAACACCTAACAACAGAAAGACAAGCATGACACCACCAGAATCTAAGGAATCTACACCAACTAGAATGGAACACAACAACAAAGCAGAGGAAGCAGAAGGGAACGACTTAAAAATTTCTGTCATAAAAATGATAGAGGCCCTCAAAGAAGATGTGAGAAAAATCCCTTAAGGAAATGGAGGAAAAAAACAAACAAAAAGTGGAAGAAATGAACAAATTCCTTAAGGAAAGCAAAGAAAGTACTGAAAGCCACCAAAAAAATAAAAAAAAATAAAAAATTAAGCAGGTAAATGAAATGGTTCAAGACCAAAAACTAAACTAGAGAAAATAAAGGCAACACAAACTGAAGGAATGCTGGAAATAGAAAAACTGGGCAAAAAATCGGGAACTACAGGCACAAGCATAACCAATAGAATTCAAGAGATCGAAGAGAGAATCTCAGGTACAGAAGATAAACTAGAAGAAATAGATTCATCGACCAAAGAAAATCATAAATCCAACAAATCCTTAACAAAAAACATACAGGAAATGTTGGACACCGTGAAAAGGCCAAACCTAAGAATAATAGGCATAGAGTAAGGTGAGGAAGCCCAGCTCAAGTTGGTGAAAGCATATTCAACAAAATCATCGAGGAAAACTTTGCAAATCTGAAGAAGGACATGCCCATGAAAGTACAAGAAGCATACCGAACCCCAAATAGGCTGGACCAAAAAAAAAAAAAAGACCCCTCCACATATAATAATCAAAACACCTAGCATAAAGAATAAAGAAAATTAAGCGCAGTAAAGGAAAAAGGACAGGTAACATATAAAGGCAGACCTATCAAAATTACACCTGACTTCTCCATGGAAACCCTCAAGGCCAGAAGATCCTGGAAAGATGTTCTTAAATATAAAGAGAACATGAATGCCAGTCTTGGCTACTATATCCAGCAAAACTCTCAATCACTATAGATGGAGAAAACAAGATATTTAATGACAAAACCAGATTTTCCCAAAACTTATCTACAAATCCAGCCGTACAGAAATTATTGGAAGGTAAACTCCAACCCAAAGAAGGTAACTACGCCCACAAAAATGTAGACAACAGATAATCCAACTACACCAGAAACCAAGGGTAAAAAAAGAACTAATATATTCAAAATACCACTGCCAACAACAAACCTAAATCAAGCAAGCATCAACAATCAATGGTCCTTACTCACGCTCAACATTAATGTCCTTAACGCACCAATAAAAAGACACAGGCTAACAGAATTGATACGAAGACAGAATCCATCCTTCTGCTGCATACAAGAAACACATCTTAGCTCCAAAGATAGACATTACCTCAGGGTAAAGGGTTGGGAAAAGATATTCCAATCAAATGGAACCAAGAAGCAAGCAAGCATAGCTATCCTAATATCTAACAAGTTAGACTTCAAACCAAAATTAATCAAACAAGATGAAGATGGTCATTTCGTTTTCATCGTAGGGGAAATCCATCAACACAAAGTCTCAGTTCTGAACATCTATGCCCATAATACAAAGGCACCAACATTTGAAAAAGAAACGCTACTAAAACTCAAAGTTCATATAACACCTCACACACTTTTAGTGGGAGACTTCAATATACCACTCTCAACACTAGACAGGACCACCAATCAGAAACTCAACACAGAAACAAAAGAACTAACAGAAGTTATGTCTCAACTGGGATTAACAGACATCTATAGAACATTCCATCCAAAGAAAAAAGAATATACTTTCTTCTCTGCTCCACATAGAACCTTCTCTAAAATCGACCACATACTAGGTGACATAACAAACCTCAACAGATACAAGAGAATAGGAATAGTCCCCTGTATCTTATCAGACCACCATGCTTTAAAATTGGAATTCAACAACAACACAAATAGCAGAAAACCTGCAAACTCAAGGAAACTGAACAATGTGCAATTGTACCACTCCTAGGTCAAAGAGGAAATAAACAAAAAAATTAAGGACTTTCTGATATTCAACGAGAATGAGGACACAATATGCCCGAACTTATGGGACACCTTGAAAGCATTGCTACGAGGGATGTTCATTGCACTAAGTGCCCATATGAAGAAAACAGAGGATAGTCACATAAGAGAATTAACAGCGCAACTGTAAGCCTTAGAACAGAGAGAAGTGAACTCACCCGTAGAAGTAGATGCCAGGAAATAATCAACTTGATGGCTGAAATCAACAAAATAGAAACCAGGAAAACAATACAAAAAAAAAATCAATGCAACGAAGAATTGGTTTTCTGAGAAAATCAACAAGATAGACAAACCTTTATCCAAATTAACGAAAAAGCAGAGAGAGAATATGCAAATTAACAAAATCAGAAACGAAAAGGGGAATATAACAACAGAGGAAATGCAGACAATTTTCAGGTCATACTTTGAAAATCTGCATTCCACAAAAATTGAAATTCAAAGGAAATGGACAAATTTCTGGATAATTATAACTTACCAAATTAAATTAAGAACAGAAAAACAACTTAAATAGACCTAAAACCTGCAAAGAAATAGAAGCAGTCATCGAAAGCCTTCCAACCAAAAAAGTCCAGAGCCAGATGGATTCAGTGCAGAATTCTACCAAACACTAAAGGAAGAACTAATACCACTACTCCTCAAACTATTCCACAAAATAGAAACAGAAGGTTCATTGCCAAACTCTGTTTATGAGGCCACAATAACCTTGGTACCCAAGCCTCACAAAGACACAACTAAGAAAGAAAACTATAGACCAATATCCCTGATGAATATCGATGCAAAAATACTCAATAAAATACTGGCAAACTGAATTCAAGAATACATCAGAGAAATCATACTCCATGACCAAGTAGGCTTCATCCCTGGAATGCAGGATGGTTTATCACACAAAAATCTATCAAGGTGATCCACCATATAAACAAACAGAAAAAGAAAAACCATATGATTATCTCCCTAGATGCTGAAAACTCTTTCTACAAAATTCAACACCCTTTCATGATAAAGGTCTTGGAGAGGTCAGGGATAATAGGATCATACCTAAACATAATAAGAACCATATACAGCAAACCAACTGCCAACATCAAACTGAATGGAGAGAAACTTAAGCCAATTCCTATAAAATCAAGAACAAGACAAAGCTGCCCTCTCTCTCCATATCTCAATATCGTACTAGATGATCTAGCTAATGCTATAAGACAACAAAAGCAGATCAACGTGATCCAATTTGAAAAGGAAGAACTCAAACTGTCTCGATTTGCAGATGATATGATAGTTTATATAAGCAACCCAATACACTCTACGAGGGAACTCCTACAGCTGATAAACACCTTCAGAAAATTAGCAGGATACAAGATAAACTCAAAAAAATAACAATAGCCCTACTTTTTTCAGACGACAAAGAGACAGAGAAAGAAATTGAGAAGCATCACCCTTTACAATAGCCTCAAGCAACATAAAGAATCTTGGTGTAATGCTTACCAAACAAATAAAAGACCTATATAACAAGAACATTGTGGCTCTAAAGAAAGAAATTAAGAAAGACACCAGAAAATTGAAAGATCTCCCATGCTCTTGAACAGGTAGGATAAACATAGTAAAAATGGCAATCTTACCAAAAGCAATCTACAGATTCAATGCAATCCCCATTAATATCCCCCCCACAATTCTTCACTGACCTTGAAATGATAATAATCAACTTTATATAGAAAAACAAAAGACCCAGGATAGCCAAAACAACCATATACAATATAAGAACTTCAGGAGGCATCACCATTCCTGATTTTTAAATCTACTACAGAGCTATAGTTCTTACAACAGCCTGGTATTGGCATAAAAATAGACAGGCAGATCAATGGAATGGAATTGAAAATCCTGATATTAACCCACACACCTAATGAACACCTGATTTTCAACAAAACAGCTAAAATTATACAATGGGGTGCAGACAGCATTTTCAACAAATGGTGCTGGCACAATTGGATGAGGGTGTGTAGAAGACTGCAGATAGACCCATGTCTGTCACAAAACTCAAGCCCAAATCGATCAAACACCTCAATCCAGCCACACTGAACCTCTTAGAAGAGAAAGTAGGAGGTACCCTTGAAAATAACTCCATTGGCACAGACCCTGAGAAAAACAATTAATAAGGGACCTCTTCAAACTTAAAAGCTTATGTAAGGCAAAGGACACAGTGGACAAGACCAAATGGCAGCCCACAGACTGGGAAAAGATTTTTCACCAATCCTGTATCCGACAAAGGGCAAATTTTAGAACTCATGAAACTAGTCAACATAACACCAAATAACCCTATTAAAAAATGGGTTACAGAATGAAGAAAGAATTCTCAACAGAGGAAATCAAAAAGGCTGAAAGACACTTAAGAAAATGCTCCACATCCTTAGCTATCAGGGAAATGCAAATCAAAACATCTTTGACATACCATCTTACTCCTGCCACAATGGATAAATTAGAAACACCAATGATGACTCATGTTGGAGAGGATGTGGAGAAATGGGAACACTCCTCCACTGCTGGTGGGAACGCAAACTCATACAGCCATTTTGGAGATCAGTATGGCGGTTCCTCAGGAAAATTGGAATTAGTTTACCACAGGACCCGGCAATCCCCCTCTTGGGCATATACCCATATGATCCACATCCACGCAAAAAAGACATCTGTTCAACTATGTTCACGGCAGCACTATTTGTAATAGCAAGAACCTGGAAGCAGCCTAGATGCCCCTCAATTGAAGAATGGTTAATGAAGATGTGGCACACCTACACAATGGAATACTACTCTGCAGAAAAAAATAATGGTATCTTGAAATTCGCAGGCAAGTGGATGGCACTTGAAGAAACCATCCTGAATGAGGTAACCCAGTCACAAAAAGAGGAACACAGTATGTACTCACCCATATGTGGATTTTAGACCTAGATCAAAGGATCACCAGCCTATAATTCACACCACCAGAGGAACTAGGATAGAAGGTGTATTCTAAGAGATTCATATAAAGTCCCTCACAGAACTGGGAAGGGACAAGTCCCCCAGAGCTCAGTTGAAGTGGGGGGGGCAGCAAATGGAGAGAGAAGTAGGAGAAAATGAGGGGGAGTAAAGGAAAATATGTGCGACCAGGAAGATTGAGCCCGGTTAGGAATAGAAGATGAGAGAGAGAGAGAGAACATAAAAGATGGAGCCAATAATGGTTTGAAGTTAAATTGAACACAAAGAAAGGTCTAGAGAGCTACAAGACTGCTGCCCACTAACAATCTGAGCTTCTGTGGAAAGGCTATCATAAATGCCCTTCCCGAAGAGTGAGATCAACAACAAACTTATCCATGGAGTCCTAAACTTGTGCCTGATGGAAACAGGAGCAAACACCCATACATAAACACTGAGTCGAAGTAGAACCCAGATGCAGATGGAGAGGACAAGACCAGGCTGAAGAAACACATAGAGACAGCTTACCTGAACAAGAAGGAGCTAATGGGCCAGCAGACTGATAGCTGGGAAGCCAGCATGGGAATGACTCAGGCCCTCCTGAATATGCCTCTCAGCCAGAAGAACTGAGCAGTCTAAGAGACCTCAGACAGTGGAGCCAGGATGTATCCCTGGTGCACAAAAGGACCTTGCGAACACATCCCCCATGGAGGGATAACTGCCTTAACCTAGAGACAGGAGAGAAGCCCTAGTCCATACTTCACATGACCTGTCAGATCTACATGACCCCAACTGGATGGCATTCCCCTACATATGGAATTGGGGTGGGGGGATAGGAGGGGAGGGTGGATAGATTGCATGTGAGAGGGCAGAGAGGGTAAAGGGGAGAGAGGGAGAGGGAACTGTGATGGACATATAAAATAATAAATTAAATTAAAAAAATGCTTTGACTCCAAAATTTAAGCTCAAGGACAAGTTACTGGGGAAAAGGATTTCTATTTTTGTTTCCATAGAAAATGAAAAGATGTGGATTCCTTCCAGACTAATGTGTTTTGATAAAGCCAGACTGCCTGAAACAGAGTACCAGGTGATCCTACATTCAAAACAGCTGGACAAAGCAGCCTTACAGACTACAGCCAGGATTTCTGCATCTTCTTGGAATTACCTTGTCAGAGACCCTTACCAGCAGGAAGTAGTATGGAAAGAATGATGCCCAAATTCCCAAATATTGTCTAATGTTTGTTTTCATTTAAATGGAATTGGTTATATAAAATAACAAAAAGGTAAAAATCATTATTTTATTTCTTTATTCATGAACACCAGGCTAAAATACTGGAGAACAAAGACATGGATTGTTAACATATATATTACAAATCTATGTATGTTCTAGAAGCATTTGAAATGTAACAAAAAGACACAATAGCAAATAAAAGCTGTTAAAATTATTTGAAATTTACAATTAACCATAAAATTGTGACCCAACAATCCATTACCTTGATCTGATTTTCCTTAACTTTTAGGCGTTGCTCTGCCTGTACATTGGATACTTCGATTGCTGTTTTCTGTTTATTGAGTTGATTCATTTGTTCTTTCATGACTTTAGCTTCTTCTAAATACTGACAGGAAAACAATAACAACGATGTGAAAGATAGCACAATGTTTAGAAGAATTTTTTCAATATCATTAAAAGATACTAAATGTGTTATTAAATGATATTAAAAAAAAGATAGGGTTGCTACTTAAATAGGGACTCAGATGGGGTTCCTTTTTATAAAGAACTTTCAAAGCAGAAGAGTACAAAATAAGAAATATTCTTCAATTGATTTACAAGGAAAATTTTAATCAAGTACACGATTTTGACACATACTTGTATGAAAAATCTAGTCAATTCTTTCTATCTTTGTACCCTATATACTCTGCTACATCTCATTACTTTTGTTTAATTGTTTGTTTTGTTTTCCCAATAGAGTTTCTCTGTATTGCTTTGGAGCCTGTCCTAGAACCTACTCTGTAGACCAGGCTGGCCTGGAACTCACAGCAGAGATACACCTGCCTCTGCCTCCCAGGTGTTGGAAAAAAGGTATGTGCCACCAATGCCCAGATATATATATATATATATATATATATATATATATATATATATATATATATTCTTTCTCTGCAGATAATCTGAGCCTCAACTGCACTGTGAGTTCCAGTTTAGCCTGGTATACATGGTAGGACTTTGAAGTGAGGATGACTCAGTTTTTATTATAGTAAGAACAATCAACACAGGAGTCCTCACCACAATGTTTTCTAAAACCTGAGATGATAGAACAAAGATGTGAAAGGAGAAGGCATCAACCCCAAAAGAAAATGGACAACCAGAAGGAACACATGTGAGACCAAACAATCCACAGACAATAGAAGAAACATGAGCCAGTTAGAAAATCCTAAAATAAGATGACTTGACACAATCCAGATAGGCTCATGATTGAAAGCAGTAGTAGTAGAGGGAGGAATGGAAACCAAAAGGGAATAATTAGGGAACTGGAGAGACAGTAGAGTAGTTAAAAGCACATACTGCTCTTGCAGAGGACCCACACTCAATTCCCTGCACCTGCACTGAGTAGCTCAAAGGTGCCTGTAATTCTATATGATCTAATGTCCTCCTCTAGTCCCTATGAATGCCTGAACATATACACACATACCAACACACAGAAGTATACACATGCTCCTGATATCTCTCCTATTACCTCCCTGTACCTGTCTTCTCTCAAACATGCATATACACATCACATTTTCTGTCACTCATCTCATTTTTTTTTTTATGCATACATATAGCTGAATGTTTCATCCCTACTGGCAAGCTTCAATAGTGCTGTAAGGTGTTATGCATACAGCAGTCCAAACATATTCATCAATGTCACCTACCTGTGAAGCACAAAAGCTGAAATAACAACCCAGCAGCAAGATGTGGCTTATGGTACCACAGTAGCATAAGTGTTATTAAAGTAAGCAACCACTTTCTAATTGGATTTAAGGCCAACCAGCTCAATGAGATGACATGTTGTCCAGCACAGCAATGCACACCTTTCACCTCAGTGCTCAGGAGGCAGATACAGGTGGAATTCTGTGAGATCAAAGTCATCCTGATCTACATAGGGAGCTCCAGGATAGACAGAATTACTTAGAGAGATTCTTTCTAAAAAATAAACTGGACCGTCCCTGACACTATTAAGGCCTCTAGTCACTACACACAGTTACACATATGTATCCACGTGAACAAATGAATACACACACACACACACACACACACACACACAACAAATCAGGTAGTCGTCAATATCATTATCATGGAAGGGCTTTAAAGTTAGTCTCTCCAATATTTCTTGGATTGCTATTTGGTCACAGAAGGCCTTACCCTCCCTGAGAAGCAGAAAGGGGATAGGGTGGGTTTTGGTGGGGGTTATAGGGGTGAATGGGAACATGAGGGAACTGGGATTGACATGTAAAACAACATTTTTTCAAATTTAAATAAAAAGGAAAAAAAAACAAAATTTAAATTATCACAATAAATAGTTCTAGTAACCCACAGTTTCAAGAGTTTCCAGAATGTAAGAATCCAACATATTAATGAAACCCTATGTGACACATCATCACACAATCTCAGAGAGCCAGAGACAACAGAAAGATAATGTTCGAAAAGAAAAAAAGGGCAGAAAGCAAAGAAGGTCCCATAATCAACACATCATTCAAGTTTCAAAACCAAACATGGAAAGGGAAGACAATGCAGCAATATCAAAATTTTATTTAAAAAAAAATGCAGCACAGCAGAAAGATCTCCTGGTTTGAGGCCTGCATGAGATTATAGTGAGTTCCAGAACAGCCAAGACTATTACACAGAGAAACCCTGTCACACTAACAACAACAAAAGCAGAATCAAAACACCAAGAAGTGCAAATAAGTATCGAAATATCAGAAACATGAAAGAGAACAAGGAGTTAGAGCAATTTCTCAGTGGTTAATACCATGCACTGTTCTCCAAGAGGTCCTGAGTTCAGTTCCCAGCACCTATATCGGGCTCATCACAGCCACTTATAACTCCAAGTACAGGAGATTCAACATCCTTCCCTGGCCTTTCAGAGCACCTTAATCATGAACACAAATGCACACAAATATAACATGCACAAAATTAAAAAAAATAATAATTAATTTTGAAATAAAATCTTTTTTAAAAATGGAAAATAAGACCTTTACAGCTATGCAATTGCCTTTAAAAATTACCTACTGTACCTTATTATCTGAAAGATAAACAAGTTAATTAATCACAAATGTTCTCTTTTGAAAGAGGAAACAGAACATTTAAGATAAGGAAACAAGAATCCTTGGCTGCTGAGTGAACTGTAGTATCAGGACAAAAATGCCCAGTAGATCTATAGAACACATTTTTCTTTTTCTTTCTTTGCTCTTTCTCTTTCCTTCCTTCCTTCCTTCCTTCTCCCTTCTTTCCTTCTTGGAGACATGGTTTCTCTGGCTATCCAGGATCTCATTCTGTAGACCCGGCTGGGCTCAAAGTCACAGAAATCCACCTGCTTCTGTTCACAGTGCTGGGATAAATAGGTATGTGACACCACTGCCACTCATTACACATTCTTATTGGACTAGGAGAATCTAAGATTCCAAGAAAAATGGCCCCCAGAAGAAAATGAAGGAGTCCAAGAGTATCTATGGTTATTTCACGAGACCTGAATTTGGTTCCCCTTACAGACCATGTTGGGGATCTGATGCTTGTGGCCTCCAAAGGTACCTGCACTTGTGTGCACATATCTACAATCAAGTTACACACATGCACATAATTAAAATAAAAAATAGAACAGGAAAAATCTGGCAGTAGGCACACACATAACTTTGAACCCAGCAATTAGGAGACTGAGTACCTCAGTAAGTTCCAGGTCACCCTGAATTTCAATACAAGACACTCTCAAAAAAAATAACAATAATGACAATAATAGAATTGTAAATGAACAAATTAGCCAAGGTAGTTGAGTGATTGGCATTTCCATTGAGATAGATTACAAATATCCATTACAGGAAGCCAAGTAGTAAAATAAAACGTCGGGCAACTCAGGATATATAGTCAAGTCAGACAGACTACTATTCAGAGATCCATAATACTGTAAGAAGAAAATGTCACACTAGTAATTTGGGAAGATAGTAAAGGCGTTTCCACAAGAGGAAAAGGACAGTATGTCTGTAACAAAGTAAAGGTAAGGACAAACACCATGTCACACCTGTGCACAGTCAAACTCTCACACCACACCCCCACAAACACCCCCATCTCAATATGCACACTATAGAAAGGAAGGAAAAGAGAGACAGCAAGGGAGGGAAAGGAAGGAAGAAAAGAGACGAGGGGAAGGGGCCTGGGACCTGGGAAGACAAACAGATTTATGACAACAGCAGCGAGAGCACTTGTGGGTTAGTGTCTAGGAGAGAAGAGGGTGAGGATAAAAGGTAAGATTTCACTTTACATTACCCAAGAACTCCTCCCTCCTCTAGCACCCCAATTGGTAATCTGTTAACTCTTACTGCAGTCTTTATTGTGAGGAATCCTGTTAGCCGATGTCTCCTGTGAGAGTAAAAATTCTGACTGCCTTCTATCAGGGAAGAAGACAGATGGAAGAACACACTTTTAAATCCTTTATGGGAGTCTGCAGGGGAGACTTCCTGTTCTCATAAGCTTACTCATTCACTACACAACTCCACACATGGTTCATTTGTGAGTACCCACAACATCAAAGGCTATATTCATATCTAAAAAAAAATATCTGTAGTCTACAAACCTGACGCACACTTTCCTGACGTTGAGAATTTTCATTCAAGGTATCTGTTATTACTCCTTTAAGTCGTTCTTTATTTATTTCAAATATTCTTAGTGTGGTTTTGGCCTAAGTAAGAGAAATACACCGTTTATAACAATTTCGCAGAAAGCCCCCTGATTATGTCTTTTCTGAAGAACATAAAAAATGTAAGCAAAAGCCAAAACATTCCACTATTTACAGCAGAGGCAGTATCAACACTACTTTGATAGACAAAGTCATTTGCCACATGACTTTGAACAAATTATTGAACCTTCCATGTACAATGCAGACCATTTTGTTAACTACTGAAATAGAAAAGAACAATTATTAGTTACAGAATTATTGGTATATTTAGCGGCTTACTTAAAACACTGCTTTACTGCCTATTTGCCAAACATGGCTTCACTTGCTACCAGGAAGGGAATAACCTGGAGAAATAGCTGAAAGAATGGGTTGTCACCCTTAGCAACCTGCTACTGCCATGTACACTTCAGAAAAATTTGCTTGCTTGCCTGCCCACTTTGTGATTTTAGAAAAGAAACTCTAACTAGAATTGAAGGCTTTCTGGAGGTCTCAGGAGGACAGTCCACTGGTGACCTCTCTCTTCCATGCTCACTAGTGTAGGAGTAGATATTAGAGAAAGACCCCACACTCCTTACACTTTGTCTCCTGACCTAAACTTTATACAGCAGGAAGCAAACCTATTTATTATTGATACATGTTACACAACTTCAAGAGTGCTCAGATACATTCCTAGGTTAAATATATCTAGAGGAAAATGAATTTCAATCAAAGTAACACATTAAAACAAATGCATATTTAAGATTGGCTACATTTCAAATACTAACAATATTTTATTACCTAATGTGATGGCTGTTTGGTTATCAATGATAACTGGAATTAACTAAAACCCAAGGAAGCTGTGAGTACTGTTTCTAAATTAAATAATTTCAAGTGGCAAGACCCACATTTAATCTGGATCTTTTGAGGTGGGAAGATCCACCTATATTCCAGGCTATACCTTCTGGCAGCAGCCTATCTAAAGGACATGGAAGAGGAAGCTTGCTGGTCCTCACCCTCACTGGCATTACAGCCTACTTCTTTGGTATTCCAGTGTATACTGAGTATCAGGTGAGATATCCAGCCTCATGGACTGAGAAAGTGCTGGATTCTTGGACTCTCTGTTGGTAGACTGACATTGCTGGTCTGAGTGGAACACAGCCTGGAAATCGCTTTAATAAATACCCGATATATAGATAGATATCTATTTAGATAGACAGATAGATAGATGACATCTCATAAGTTCTGTTCCTCTAAAAAACTCTGACAAATATACCTAATAATAATATGAAACATAAATTGTCTTCAGAAGTGACAGACTAATTTATTTCAACTTAACTTACTTCAGCTAGCTGTGATTTGACAGACTGTGATTCATCTGCTAGAGACTGGATCATTTTTGAAAGGTCACTCATCTGAAAAGACAGTATCAGTCAGTAAGTATTTAATAAGTCCATTTTGCTCCAAGACAACATGCATTAGTTAGGTACATTGTTAATTTACTGTTAATAAAAGGGAGAGGCCAGATAAGGAGGCCTTGTCAGCTTGCATTCCAAGTGCTCACAAGGATTTTAAAAATTATGTAATCACATGATGTCCTTAAAAAAGCAATACATCATAGAACTTTTCAGGTTTAAGGTGAACCCACTAATTCATATGTTAAATAATCTCACACACATCAAGATTTTGCTTAATCCAGAATTTAAAGTAAAATAAATGATATATATATATATATATATATATATATTATATGTTATATATTTTTCACTATGAATATTCAAGTTATATTCTTTATGGTTACTTCCAACGTAAATATTGAAATTTTCCATTTAAAATAACAAGCGAGCCAAGTGTGGGGATGCACACTTGTAACCCCAGCTCTTAAGAGGCACAGGCAGGAAGGTCATGAGTTTTAGGCCAGCCTCACTTATACATACAGGACTATATTCTAATACTATGTCAATGAATATAAACAATACGAAAACAGGAATATGCACAAGCCACTCATCATAACATCTAAAAAGTAAAAGTTTGATGGGAGGTGTTGGCCCATGCCTTTAATCCCAGAAAACAGGAGGCAGAGGGAGGTGGATCTTTGTGAGTTCCAGGCCAGCCTGGTCTGCATAGTGAGTTTCACAACAGCCAGAGCTATTACATGGAGAAATCCTGTCTTGAAAAAACAGAACATAACAACAAATAAATAAAAGAGGTGAAAAGATCAGATCAGATGTGAAAAATTTTGTTCTCATATTATTCTACATCATTTTTTTTTCTCTTTTGATTTTTCAAGACAGGGTTTTTCTGTGTCACTTTGGAACCTTCCTGGAACTCATTCAGTAGAGCAGGCTGGCCTCAAACTCACAGAGATCTGCCTGCCTCTGCCTGCAGAGTGCTAAGATTAAAGGCATTTGTCAAGAATGCCCAGCCTGCATTCCATTTTTTATATACATGAGTTTATTTACATTTTTGAAGATAGTATATCCTCTCCCTGTTCAGGGCAGGATAGCTTGGAACTGTTGTTTCTTCCTCCCAAGTGCTGGTATTATAAGTTTGTGCCACTATGGTTGGCTCACATATAATATTTTAATCAATATTTAATTTATAGGTAAGATTCATAATTCTCTTGGAATATATAAGACTCACCAATTTCTCTTCTTCATAATGCTTAGCTCTCTCTTCTTCTAGTTTCTTCTCTATAAGTAATATTTCTTCTTCAAGTTTAGATTTATCTCTTTCTAGATTTTTATAAGTTGCCTAAAATAGAAAGCTAACTTTAACAAGCCAAACATAAGAATTTTTAGTTAGGTTAAAAATCAGATGATTGTAGGGTAAAAATCAGATGAGTATACTCAAATATATAAACACTTTATACATTTTTTCATTTCTCAAATATTAAAATAACAGCAGGTTTAACAGTTGCCAGCAACTTCTATAAAAAAAAAAAGTGTAAGTATTTTAGGTGCCCACCAGTTAACCACGGCAAACAATGAATATCCCCTGAAGGAATTAAAACAGTTGCATTCCAAAAAAACTTTTATGTAAAAATAAAGAAAAATTAATGAGTTTATTTGGAGTCTAAACTCCCTGCAGATTCTACAAGGGCATTCTAAATCATAAGAAACAGACTTGCTACTCAGGACAGAGGATGACAGAACTGACATACTGGACTGAACACATAATCTAAGTGACAAAGTTTTTTTTTCTGTTTTATCATTGGTAGGAGCAGGCTACTTCTATTTACTCTACAGGCTCACAACTCAGTTTTAATAACCGTTCCACTTTCAAAGAGTATTGAGGCACTTCATCACATCATACTCTGTCTGTTAAGACAAGTCATTGTGTCCTCTGAATCAGGAGAGTTAACTGTCCATCTCTCCTAAACTCTCCATTCTGTGAAATCATGGTTATGGACTGAAAACTGGCTGTGATGGAGTGTGTAGACAAGGGTTGATGCACAGAAAGGGATTAAATATTTATCACCATGCCACTCTTTACAATGTAAACCTCAATTCTAATTTTAGTAAATATCTACTACCATGGTAAGAAAAAACAATATGGTCACAACTTACTTGTCTGCTACTATGCTTAAATTTGTGAGAGTTCTATGTCTCTTTCCTGGAGCAAACTATGTCAAAAGTAGGAATTGTCTTTCCAATCCATTCACCAGAGTACAGAATGCAGAATTTCTTTCTTTCTATAAATCTATAGCTTCTGATAAACTGATTTTGTATCCCTCAAAACAAGTTAATGACAAGAGATAAAACTGTTATGTTTTAAAATATTTTATGCCACCTACAACTATTCTGTTTCCACTAACTTTTTCTGTACATTGTAAGATCCAGATACACAATTTCATATTTCTCTGACATAATTGTTTTTGAGGAGACAAGATATTTCTAATAAGAATCTTTTCCCTAGCTTTTACATCATACTTTTTTTTACCTTCAAACTCTGTACTTCTGTTGATGCCTTGTCAAAGTTGGCCTCCTTTAAGGATGACTCTAAGCCTTCATACTGAATAAAACAAGGGAACACATGAGGGAAAAAATACAAATTTTAACTCAACTTGTATCTAAATAGACACCAAAGAAGGAAACAGAATTTATATCCACCATGTGAAGTACCCTTGGATTTTATGAGCTTAGTTTGCAATCTAAACACTGTGCTGAGGAAAGCCAGGTCTACAAACAAGCCACAACCACCAGCCTAGGCAACATATGGCAGAACGTTTCCTTTGTGAATACCATAGTTGCCCCACATCTGCTGGGGCTGAAAACCCTAACAGCAAGTGTGACTAAAGTGGATCTAAAGAAGTGAGTCATCTACTATCCCCTGAACAGATTAATGGCTTCTCCAGTCTGTCAGTAGAACAATATGTGGTAACTGGCTATCAGACATTTATATCATGTGATAAATAAGGCAAGTAAGGAAGATAAAATCTGTGAGTTTCAGACCACCCTTGTCTACAGAGTGAGTTTCAGGACAGCCAGTGATGCACAGAGAAACCCTGTCTCAGCACCTCAGAATTTGTGTTATTTAGAGACAAAGCCTTTAAATACAGCTAGGTAAAATGAGGGATTTAAGATGACTACAACGTAATATGACTGGTATCCTATGTGGAGAGCACTAGGACAGAGAGTGACATAACAAGCAGACAGCAATATCTAAAGTCAAGGGACAGGTCACAGAGGAAGCAAAGCCTGGCTCTATCTTCATGGACTCATTTCAAGAACTGTAAGGAAATTCACTTCTGCTGCTAAAGGTATTTTGTCACAGTAGCCCTAGCATTCCCGAATGAAAACAGTAAATAAAGTCTCTACATGATAACAAGTAAAAGTACCTTTACATCCTTGATAAGCAAAAAAAAAACCTCATGAAACATTACACTACATTAAATTGTAATTCAAATCCTCTACCTTCTAAGACACTGAACAAAACAGAAATGTAAGCCACAGAGTAGAAGAGATTTACAATCCATATATCTGACAAAACTCTTTCTTATATATGACATAAAATAGTAAAAGCAAAGGCCCTAATCTATATGGCATAAACTGAGAAAGATTATGAGTGCATTTAAAAGGATGGAAATGGGCAAGTGTGATGGCTCAGTAAGTAGTTAAGGAGCTTGCTGCCAAGACTGATAACCTGAGTTCAATCCTAGGGACCCACGTAATAAAAAGAGGAAAGTGACTCCTCTATGTCCTATTCTTGGTACACGCCTACACAAATAGACACACACAATAAAAATAAAGTCATCTTTTAACGTGGAAAAGACTTAAAAGGCAATTTTACAATATCTAAATGAGCAATAAGCAAATCAAGGTGCTCTGACTAATTAGTCAGGAAGGTAAACACTACACATCACCAGGGTGGCTGCAAAGAGAATGGCTAAGTGATGAAGTTGAGCAGCAACAGAGCTCTGGTCTGAAACAAAGCTCTGATGGCAAGCAATAACCCATGGAGAACAATTAAGCTCCACACTGTGATGGATGGTATTTTCAAACACATCTTACCTCCTCTTGAGCAAGGCACACTTTGTCAATTAGATCACATTTCTTTTTGATTTCCATTGCAAGTTCCACAGCCAGTCTATTCTCTCTTACTGAGCAAGCAAAGAAAAAATTATTATGACTAAAGTGTGAAAACGCTTTAAATTATATACAATCACAAGATCTAAAATCAAAAAAGACTACTTACTCAAATAAAGTCGGCTTTGAATCTGAAACAAAAATTTAACAAAATTACATTAAAACAAATATATCTTCAAGCAAATCTATCTGACTTCTACTTCCAGCTTTAAGATGCCAACTTTCTTATGGCCTTATGGTAAATAAATTACCCAAAAGCCTTCTATTTCAAATGAAAACAATGCTATATAGTAAGGTCTCCCATTGTGTGGTATCATGTGTGTTACCATATTAAAGGCTCTGAAACAGTCTTATTCTAAAGAAAACTGTATAATTCCACTTAACTCCATGTTTCCCATGCATATATTGGCTCTAAAGCAAAGTATTTTAAGGAGCCACCATTATTAAATCTCCTACGGTTAATAATCAAAATAAAAATATATGAAATATCATTGGACTCTAGACCTTGACTGACTAAAAAAACTCATTAGTCTTTTTCTTCTTCATACTTCAGCTTTCGATAAGGAAGGGATACATCCACCCTTGAGAACAGTGGGGATAGGGTAAAGTGATCAAGGGATGCAAACAAGAACACTCATGCCACCTAGAAAACAGAGACAGAAAATTGGAAGAAAAAAAAAATGACAAAAAAAAAAAAAAAAAACAGTGGGATATATGTAAGCAGAAGGTAAGGAAGAAAAAACCATGAAGATATTAGAAATGAAGTCAGTCAGAAGCACAAAGGCCAACATCTAAAAAGAAGTCTCAGAAAGAAAAGGCTATGTTATGACTCCCTCCTTAAAAACAGTTAGCATAGGAAAAAGCAATATAGGATCCATAGGAAAAAGCAATATAGGATCCAGGAGAGCCATGAAAGTAGCGATTTTTACTCTTAGTTGGGAAGTAGATACACCTGCAAACTTTTTAATATTGTTAGAAACAAACACAGACACCCCAAATTTAAAGAAGAAAAGGGAAAGAAAGAAAGTTGGGGCTTTAGTACTAGTGTGTAGTATCCCTACAATAAAATCCTTTAAAATACACTTACATAAAAATATTTCTGTTAATCTCTGTTCAGTTTTTAAAAACCACCTGTTAGCATAATGCAGAACACTAAGACCTAACTCATTTCCCTGAAATAACAAGTTTCTCCAATTAGATGTTCAATCTAAACACAAAATGAAGGTTAGAGAGAAATGGCTCAGAACATTTGTTAGTCTTGTAGAGGACCAAGATTCAAATGCCATCATCAACATTATAGCTCACAGTCATCAGTAATTCCAGCTCCAGGGCATCCAACAATGGCCCACTAATCACTTCTGTAGACCAGGAACACGTACCACACACACATGCATACAAGCAAAACAGCATACACATAAAAGGAAATAAACTTAAAAAACAAAAACAAAAAACTTAGAATGACCATTCACTTACTATAAGTGGTTACTTACTGATCGGTATCCTCTCCAAAGAAATAAAAAATGGTAACCAGTCCAATGGCAACCACACATATCAGCGATTCTAATGATGGCTCACTAGGATCAAAGCTTGTTGTCATATCTTCAGGCACTGCTGCCACAACCTTCAAGACAAAGAAAATAAACTTATAAGCATGCTTCTTCAACAGTACTGGTACATAGACAGGCACAGGTGGCTGTGGCCAACTCTATTCATATTGAATGGGCTACCATAAAATACAAAGCAGAATGCCTCCAAAGATGTTTTCTAGTAAATTACAATTGTTCTTATTGAGGGGCTAAGTGTGGTGAAACAGTAGTTTTCAAACAGAAGTTATGGGGAGATTCCACAGAGCATAACTCCAGGAGAGTTAAAGGATAAGGATATAGTATCAAGAAAAGAACATTGTGGAATATTTTATATGTGTTTCATTCTTTTATGTTGCATTTGTTTAACTCTGTAAAGCTGCATTACTTTGCCAGTCTAAAACACCTGATTGGCCTAATGAATAGCTGAACAGACCAATAGCTAGGCAGGAAAAAATAGTCAGGGCTGGCTGGCATGCAGAGAGTATAAATAGGAGGAGAGACCTAGAGAAGATCCAGGGACAAGAGGAGGAGGACACCAAGGGCACCAGTCATAGAGTAAGAAGGAAAGAAAGGCATATAGAATAAATAAAGGGAAAAGAGCTCAGAGGCAACACATAAAGAGAAATGGGATAATTTAATTTAGAAAAGCTGGCTAGAAACAGCTGAGCTAAGGCCAGCCATTCGTAAGTAAGAATAAATCTCAATGTATTTATTTAGGAGATGGGTGAGGGACACAGTCCCTACCAAAGATTTTTAAAATCCAGTAAAAAAAAAAAAAAAAAGTATCAATGATCTGGGTTGGGTTCTTTTCCCTGAGTTCAAGTTCATGATTTATCCATATGCACTGGGTTTGAAAAAACATTTCCTGCAGAGGAAAAACACTGAACTGCAGCTTGTCCTCTGAGGAAGGGAGAGTGATAAGAAACTAATGACAGAGCTTCAGAGTTGGGATTTAACCCCTTCCTTCCTGTCTCTTGAGTTAAATTAATGCAGTTTGAGCCCAAAAAGAAAATGGCTCTTTCAAAAACAACCCTAGAAATGATGGGCTTGACTCTTTCCAGGCATCAACATACACCATCTAGAAACTCCTCAGCTGTCTTCTCCTTGGGGTCTGACAAAATGAACAACAAATCCTTAGATAATTACTATCTATAAAACCTGTTTTATGCTAGTACATGACAAGGACCTTTTACTTCTACCAAAAAAAAAAATACATGCAATAGTATCCTCTTTTTTTATTCCCTGTATCTTTATTTTCCTTTTTACATCTGTGACTCCAGAAAGGATCCAAAGTGCAGGTGCACAGCCTCTGCTCTGGGTTTCATGGAGAGTTCCTTTAACCTTGTGTTTTAGATCCTTAAGGTACAGGACTGACCTTACAAGGGCTCAGAAAAGGGTTGAAAATATTTTATCCTGGTCCTCTCTCTCTTTCTCACCTGAGCCACATACAAACAAGTGTGATATCATGTTGCAAGGCAATGATAACGATTTGCTTCTAGGATCACAAGAATAGATATTCAGGCACGGCAAATATTTCCATTATCTCACTCCAGAGACTATGAATGTATATCCAAGCCCTCCACATACCCTCTAAAATATTCTTCCACACCTCGCAGAGTAAGGCCTGCAGTTAATTGCATATTTTACCTCTTCCTGAATCCATCTTCCCTCAGTGGGTTATTCTAGTCTTTATCACCAGGCCCCAATACTAACTGATCATAAACAAGTAGACTCCTCTGATAGCAGATAAAAAAGACTAAGACTAAAACTGTTACTAGAAACAAAGATGTGATGGAAAAGGCTAGCTCAGTCTTTAAGATGTAGGATTTTATGCAAGAGAACAATAAAATGAAGTAAATCTGTTGAAGTAAGGATAAAACAAACCGTTCATCAACAGTAGTTAGTTATTTTTAGATCTCATTTTCAGTGAGTCAGCATGAAAAGAGAACATGGTAAAAACACAACAAATAAGTTAGACTATCATACTAGCAAAATACTATGCAATAATAGCAGAAAATACATTCACTCTCAAATGTACATGGAAGATTCTTCAGAAAAAATCCAGGCATTAAGCTAAAACACACCTCAATGTTTTCTTTGTTTTTTGTTTTGTTTCTTTAAATAATCAAACCACATGGCCAAGCCCAGAGAAATGGCTCAGCAGCTGAAAACATTTGCTGCTCTTGCAGCAATCCATGTCAAGAAGTCCCTAAGTGCCTGCCCATGACTCCAGCTCTGTGAGATCTGATGCCCTCTTGCCGCTTCCTTGGGCAGCTGAAGCTACAAGCTCATACACACACATACACATAGTTTAAAATAGTAAAAATTCAATTAAAAAATTCCCATGTCAAGAAGCATCTTCTCTGATTACAACGGGTTAAAATTAGTTATCAAAAAAAACAGGAAGGGCTGGAGAGAGAGCTCAGCAGTTAAGAGCATTTGTCATTCTTATAGATAAATGACCCATGTTTGTTTCCCAGGGTCCACTTGGTGGCTCACCACTATCTATGACTCCATTTCCAGGGAAATATGTCACCCGTTAAGGCATCTTTAAGCACAGCAAACATGTGACGCATGGACATACATGCAAGAGCATGTACATAAAAGGTTTTTTTTAAAAAAAATAATAATAAAAATAATAAAATGCAACATAAAACTTACACAAAACAACTAATTCAGTGTGTAACAGGAAAATTTATAGTCATAAAAGACTTTGTAAAAAAAAAAATATGTGGGGGCAGGGGCTGGAAAGATCTCACAATGGTTAAAAACATTAGCTAGTTGTCAAGAGGTTCTGAGTTCAGGTCCTAGCATCCACATGGTAGCTCACAACCATCTGCAATGAGGTGCCCTCTTCTGCCCTGCAGGGATATAAGGAGACAGAACACACTATATATAATAAATAAATCTAAATAAAAATTTTAAATATTATTGGGCCAGGAAGATAGCTCAGCAGGTAAAAACTTTGCCACCAATCCTCAGGACCTGTGTTTGACCCCCATCACCAATGTGGTAGAAGGAAAAAACCGACTCTTGGGGCTTTGGATTTACACACACACACACACACACACACACACACACACACACACACCATATATACACAGAAAGGAATGTAATGCTCAGTTAAAAAAATCAATGTCATAATCCACAGTAAAAGAAATGAAGAAAAAGAAGATCTCAACAGATAGTAATAAAACATGTAAGAAAATCGACCGTCTAATCATCAGGAGACTGCAAACTAGGACTACTTTTCTCAATCTGACAAACAGCACCAATAGAAGACTCATAGCTAACACCATCCTGAAGGGGAGAGAATTGTTCCCTTACAAAATGCAACACACATCCACACAGCCCACTGAACCACAGAAAATCCAGCCAAGTCTGCAAAATCCCTCCGTGTTCCTCACCCCCAACCTTATCAAAAACAAGTGTTGGTAACTGCTAGGTGCCTGTGTATTTTATGTGAAAAGCCAGAGGCTGCTGTTGTAATGTCTTCCTTCTCTACCTCAATTTTTCTAAGGCAGAGTCTCTCACTGAATCTAGAGCTCACACATTCTCTGATAAACTGATGACCAGTGAACCTGGGATTCCTCTATTCATACCTCCACCCAGCGTTTACATTGCCTTAAGGGCTCCTACTCCAGATCATGGCAAGCACTTTCCTTTCCGCACTGAGTCATCTCCCTAGGCCCTGATTGTGGATTCTGAGGGAGATGTGTGTGATCTGAAATCATCTCTCATCTACAATATGCTTCTCTTCCCATAAGGCCCATCTCAGTAACTTAGCTGACAGAGCCAGGAACTTGGGACTATTCCAGATTCTTCACACATCCCACCCCTCTCTGCAGCTAATCAAGAAAGTCACACTCATTTTAGCTCTTATTTCTTCTTGCCCCATTTAGGACCAACTTCTCTATCCTTATCCCTATCAATTCTCCTTCCTGTGTTTTTTTCCCCTGACATTTGATTCTCATACTATCAGGAATATCTATACATTTTTCTATGGGTCTCACCACTGATGAGCCTGTGCTGGATCTCACACCCCACAGCAATCCTTGAGACCCACTGGTCTACAGTAAGCATCATGTCACATCAGGCCCTTGGCTCACTTATGCTGTGAGCTCCTGTGTATGCTGTTTTCACACCTCATCTACTGAAACTTATTTGCTCAGTCTAAAGACTTTGCCAGCAACCCAAGGAAAAACAATCACTCCCTTCCCTTATTTTGCATGTGTACTTCTATAGGCAATAGACTTCAACTGTGGATTAATTTTGTGTATTTTCTCCCCAAACAGCCAACATGATGAAAATGACCAAAATCCTTATTTCATTTAGAACCTCCATAGAGCATTTTTATTCATGGGCAAATGAACCATGAGCATGGCACTACTTACTTTAAATTCACAGAACATGAAGATAATTAGAACTGGCAGCAGCTCAAAAAATCCTCCATGGGCACACCACGGTGGCAGTACGAGGCACCGCCATCCCTGTGCCCACCATGGGGGGCCTTGCAGCTGGACAGATGGACAGCAGCAGAGCAGAGCACAGTCAGTGGGACACTGGGAAAGGGAAGGCTTCTGGGGCCGGCTGGCACCACTGCCCTCTCCACCTCCTTATCTCAGTTGACGCGTCAACGCTGGCACTCTGACCTCCAGCACCAGAGTCCTGGAGAGCTGGAGCAAGAAAACCTAAAGCACCCAGTGTGGGGCTGCAGGCCTACACTCCGAGGCCTGCGGCACAGCCCCGGAGTGAAAGCTCAGCCCCCTATCCCCAGCTACTATCGCACTCTGTCCTATCAAGTCAAAAAAACAAAAAAAAAAAACAAAAAACAAAACAAACAAAAAAAAACACTCCCCTATGGAACACTAAAAGCTGAAGCACCAACTTTGGGGCTACAGCCCTACACTCCGAGGGCTGGCACAGCCCCAGAGTGAAAGCTCAGCCCCCAAGTTACAGCTACTATCACGCTCTGTCCTATCCTCTCCAGTCCAAAAGCCACACTGTAGTAGCTAGGGGGAAACGCTCCTACGCAGAGATGTCGTCCTCCGTCATAATCAGTGTCAGAAAACGGCCTCTGACGTAAGAGACGATGACGCATTCACACTTCGAACTCACTGTGATCAGCCCAGTTATACCACTTGACTCCTAAGAAATATCCTTTCTTGACTCGGAATTAATAGCAGGTAGGTAGGTGGGTGGGTGGGTGGGTGGGTGTGTGTGTGTGTGTGTGTGTGTGTGTGTGTGTGTGTGTGTGTGTGTGTGTGTGCTAATTCCTGGAGATGGAGACATTCTGCTCAGCACTGCCCTATTTAGCATCCTATTTGTAGGCCTCATGAAATAAGCTGATGCTTTTGTGTATCTCAAATGTAGGACCTGAGAGTCACTGCTCTGAAATGTCTTTTTATTTTTCAGTGTCAGATCTCATTTCATTGCTCCATGTGCTTCCAAGTAATGACTGCTTTGAATTTCCTCCAAGAAAACTATGTAGGAACTTGGCAAAGTATGTTGGAAAAGAAAACAAAAACAAACAAACAAATAAAACAGACCATCTAAAGTTTTTAAGCATCAGAAATTTGGTTTGTTTTTCCCTAAATTGGAAGTTAGAGCTGATGTGTCAGTTCATTTCCCCAGTTGTTACCTTCAGGGTGATTGAACAGAAGATCAACTGATAAGTATTAATTGCCCTCAAGGAAGTTCTGGGAGCTACCTGTGTTTGCTGTGCTCACTGAACCACACCAAGTTGCAAAACTAGGTACCACCTGTACTTGCCCAAATTTAGTTTATCACTTTGGGCCATGTGGTTTTAGGACAGAGCTGACTGGAGTTGGGTTTTGGCCCCAACTAAGCTTTCTTACATGGAGAAGAAGCCTGAAACTCCAGTGCATGTGTGCTGTAGGCCAGTAGTGACACTGTTCAAATACACTAAGCAGAAAATGTCAACATGGCATATTGGCAAGGTAGTGAAGAACAGACTGAGATCCTTTATAATTTGGATCTGGTTTCATTCTTGATGACTCATTTTCATAGTTTTCTTAGTAGAATTTTTTTTTTTTTTTTTTTTTTTTTTTTTCTTGGAACAGGTTTTTCAGAGGCTGCCTGGGAACCGGCTCTTATACACCAGGCAGGTCTTGGACTCATAGAGATCCGCATACCCCAGCCTCAAAGGCTGGGATTAAAAGCCTGCCACACTCCTGATTGGTTCTTAATAGATTTTCAATAGCTGTTATAATCCTTTACTTTGGAGATGGAGCCATGATGATATATACCACAAAAAGTTATTCTTTATTAGTACTTTTTGGTATTACCCCGAGGGAGTATTCATTTACGTTAAAATACAAGCTCTGTTGACCTCCATATTTTCTGCTTTGAATTACCATCTCCAATCTGTTACTCCATCCCAAGAATTGCACTACTAACTTCTTTATTGTTTTCACTTCTCAGTGTTCACTTGAACATCTTATTTGAATCAGTTTCCACAAACATCAAGAGCTACACATTGAAGCACATATGACTTTTCAAATCCAGCTCCAATAATTCTTCAAAACTCTTCATAATTCTGTTATTTCCTTGGTGTGTGCTTCAGGATTATTGTGTAGAGGGGGCGTAATATTTGCAAATTGCTTCACAATAGTGTCTCTTATTTAACAAACACTTCTCAAATGTGACGTCAATGTTCACATAAACACAAGAAGATCCTCTTCTTTTTAGATGGTCTCCTGAGTCCTAGGAACACTCCACCTTTGGAATTCTTTCACTGATATACAAAACTTGCGAGCACAGCAAATGTTTAGATATTGTCTTGAAGAATTAAGTGAACTCTTTCTACAATTTTAATTATTTATTTGTCAGTGTCTGTGTGGGCAGATGAACCCTTGCCATTGTAAACATATGGTCAGAGGCCAAATTAGGATTTGAATTGTTCCCTACTAATTTTGAATTGTGTAAGTCTAGAAGACTTAACTTAGGCCTTTAGCTTTGACAGCAAGCATCTTTACCCACAAGGCTATCTCAAGGCCTAATGAATCAGATCATAAGAATTTGATTTATTATTTTTATTTTATCAGTCAAATGAACAAATTTAAGTGAAATGAAGGAACAATAGAATTATTTTTCCTATTTTACTTGTCTGTTTGGCCGTGTGTGTGTGTGTGTGTGTGTGTGTGTGTGTGTGTGTGTGTGTGTGTGTGCGCTACAGAAAGGATCAAGAACCATGTGTGTTTTAACATGAGCTACACTCACAGCTATGTTTTATTACTTTACTATCTAGGGATGATATTCTTTTCCTTTTTGCACTCTCTGGGATGGTAAATTCCCTACATAGACACTTAGCTATACTCAATATCTGGATTTCTTACCAACCATAATATAAATAGTAAGGGCCTGTAATGGAGGGTGGATGTCAATATAACCATATTCTAACTAGTTTGGAAAAAAAGCCTCAATGTCGGGATCAAAATATTTGAAGTTTTTTTGGTTAATGTTAGTTGCATGTCTTGCATGAATAGAATGAAGTTATACTCTTTTCATGAGTGACCACTGAGGAGGGTCATTTTGTCAGTGAGATGAAGAAATTCAGACTGCCACATGAGAGAGATTTGCTTTCCATGTGTTGTGAAAGAAAACAAATTTAAAACAACCAGAAATTAACCAAGTGGCAACTAGGGTTTTTTCCCTTAACCACTCATGTGTCTGGTGTTCACATACATGGCTGCCCTTTAATTTGTGGTCCTTCCAAGTGAGTTGAGGGACAACTAAAAAGGAGAAGTTGGATGAGAATAATATTCAGCAGATGACCCCAGGACAGAGAAGTTGCTTTCTTGTGATTAAATCCATAATGACAAACACATCTGTGTAGTTCTGTGCTGTGACTTTGCTGTGTTTACTTCCCCCACCTCCCTGTCAGGGCTAAGTCAGTGTGCTGTAATCTAACAGAGATCAGTTCTCAGCTTTTTTTTTTGAAATGATCTGTCCAGTCATAAGGAGTTAGTTTTCCTACTAATTCAATAACTACATTCTTCAATAGGATTTTAATTTCAAACCATTGGAATAACTTATTTTTTCTACCTCCATGTGAATGTGGGTTATTAATGAGTTCATTAGACCAAAGATAAATGATAAACAGTTTTTTAGTGAACAACTTATACAGCTAATAGTAAAGAACCCCTGAAACGGTCCTGCTTCAGAAGATGCAGTCTCTGCCCTTCTGATGCTCTCCAAGAACCTGAGAAAATACCCACCCCTACCCCCACTTCTCTCCCTTCAGGTAAAGGTAATTATCTTTATTCATAGTAAGAGGTAAGTATAATTTTAAAAGTGAGTTATATATCAGAAGTAGACATAATCACAGGCATACGGATACACAATCTGTTTGTTCTGTTGGCACTGTAATTTAGAAAATTAAACATGGGTACAAGATAAAGTTCACATTGCTGAAGGCAATTTAACTAGAGCACTTTCTCTGTTGGCTACACTCTTGTCCATAGATCACATGGCATGTCAGGCCTCTCCACTCTTGTGATTAAAGAAAACTCTGATGTAGACTGACCAAAGACTATGTGCCTGAATTAGAACTAGAACTATATCTTAGAAGTACCATACCACTCCAGGTGAGCCATCATCTCCTGAAATATTCTTAGGTGTCAAGAAACTGTCATTCCTCCCTTAGAGCAGAATCCCAAAGACCCAACTGAGTGTTGGTTGAAAGCATGCTGAATCTAGTTCAACAGTCCATTACCCATTGGTAGGTAAGGTACACAGTAAGCAGTGGATTTCTTTCTTTGGGTATTTGTGTGACACGGGCTCTTGTAGCCTAGACTGGCCACAAACTTATTGTATAACTCAAGACTTCCTGGAACTTTGGGCCTTCCTGCCTCTACTTCGCCAATTCTGGTATTGCAGGAATGAGCCACTATTTATATCTCGTAGGCTGGTGGTGGGTGTGCATTATTCCTAGAGCTTCCTGCATGTTAGGTAAGTACTCTACTAACTGAGCTGAGTACATGTCCTTTTAGACAGCATTGTTTGTGTTGCTGTATTGTTTAACTTTTAAACTCTTCCCAGACTGTTCTCTCTGTTTACAGCTCAGTTTTAAGTATACATATATAAGTATATATTGAAACTATATCAATTACTGAAATTTCAAACATTATTAATTTCACACGATGTGGGGTCTAATGTCATTTTTCCCTCAGTGCACTGAAAAATCTAATAGTTGTTAAGGCAGTAATATTTCAGGAAACTAAATTGCTACAACAGCCCGGTTCACAAATAAGAACGCTTGATGGTGAGACGAGTTTCATTTCAGAGTGTGACATTCTGAAGAGTGTGCAAGTAGTCAGGGAATGCTCCAGTGGACAGTCTCCTTAAGTTACATGCATCTAAACAGAATCTGCTTCTGAGATGTGATATGATGAAAGGAAGGTACTGCAAAGATGGGATGGGGTTCTTCTCCTGTAGGTAGATCTGGCTGGGATCATGTTCCTCTGCCTCACTGAGCTTCTGTCCTTCCACAGTAACTTGTATTCACAGAGGTGATTTGTAAGTAGGTTTCTGTGGCTTTTTCAGTGGAATAAGGCAAGTATGTTAGTTAGGTTATGATCACACACTAAACAAGTTTCCCTTGATGCGTTACTACCTATACAGACCAGCTTTCAGTTTCTGCAAACTTTCTTTCAGAGATGCTGATGTTGGGAGATGGGAGTCCTAGAATTCAGCACTGCAGCTAATGTTGGTTAAGTACATCACTACAACTTTGGCTATGTATATGGGAACAGAATTTCTAAGTTTCCAATATCACAAGAGATGTGGAAGCAACTCCCATGTTTGGCTCTCTCAAAATAGTCAGGTCTTTACTTATATCGAGAAAGATCTTCTATCCTTGTACTCTCAGGAAACTGTCAGCTGTCAGTGGTCACTGTTGCTCAGAGATGTCTATGAATGTTTCTTGGAAATGAGCTAATTGGGAGCTACATGAGAAAACTAGCCAAGGAGACATGGAGAAGTGTTGATGTTGGGATGTCGTTTGTTTTTAATGTTACTTCAGTTATAATCTGTGGAGTTTAGAATGACCTGCAAATGCTGACAGAAAACTCCAGACTC